TGCATCCTCGTACGTGCATTAATTTGCTGGGTCATAGTAGTTGCCTGACTTATCAAAAATAAGAAAATAAGAAAAGTACTAAAAAATTTTGAAAAAATTCTTAGAGTTCTATGAGTAGAAAATAAATGATTTTTGTCTTTTGCAGTTTTTCTATAAAATTGATAGTATTTGAGTAAAAATTATTCAAGACCAATATTTGGCAATTTTTAGTAATTAATATCTCGTTAATTATTTTGTGTAAACTGCAAAATGGTAGATGACTTTTCGACTCAGTTCGATTCACTCTACCTGTTCATGATGGATGACGAAATATGTTAAAATCATCCTATATATATATATATATATATATATAAAAGGTATGGGAAAAAGTTCGTGGCGTTTTTCCCGTTAGATGGCATTAAAAAAAACCTAATATATTAGTTTTATTAATTGTTTAAGAAAGAATTTCCTAGTTTAATTTATTTTTGATTACGATGTATCAAAATATTATTTAAATTAACTTCGCTTAGATTTTTTTGTAATTTAACATTAATAAATATTTCATAATTTTTCATTTTATTTTGTTTTCATACATAAATTATTTTCATCAAAGTTAAATTTATGTTCAATTTTTAGTCGCATTTATAGTTCATCTCCTGTTTACAAATAAAAATTCGTTAATATCTTCATACAAAAATTTAATATCATTTACATAAAAGAATAGTAGTAAATGCGTGCGATATTACAGTACGGTCGCGAACGTGTTATAACATGTAACAAATCTATAAAGAGAAGTTTGTTTTATATGTTGGAAATTATCTTTGAAAATATTTATAGCTTTCCATAATATTACATACCGAGACATATAATTAAACATCAAAATATAATTAAAACGATCAATTTATCGTATTTAAATAAATATCGTCGATATAAATATGTTCTGCATAAATTTTCTATATAATATAAATATTTAATGTCTACCGAAAAGAGCAATTCGATATATCATCCATATCGTTAGTCTAGCAGCAGTGTGGGAGCTATAGTTAAAAAAAAATTATCGAAGCACCAGAGGTTAGCTCGCGGTTAAATTAATCCACTTAACTAGAGTATGGTATAATTATAATTCATAGCCAGCAGTGGGTCGAACGCGCTGTCGACGGTAGATACGAAAAAAATTAGAGAGCTTGTGATTTCTACGACACAGACGCGAGTCGCTTTCAAAAATCAAAATCGGATGACACAGATGCAACAGACGACGTTTTCTTAGAACTCTAGATGTACTAGAATTCTAGTGCGCAAAGGTCCACTATATTTAATCTAATAACCATATTATATTAAAGAGTTAAGATCTGTTTTCTGACTCAACTAGGGTACACTTTTAGTGTACACTAACTTAAAGTGAGATAGATACATGTTTGATATTTGGCAAAAGCGAGAAAGAGAGTCAATAGTACAGTCTAGTGCAGAATAGAAAAGCAAACCTTAATAAGCTTATATACTTATTCGTTGGCTTACTAAGCTTGCTTTACTAAGCTTGCTTATTATTTATTACTTACTTATCGAACGATAGATCATTAGGTCAAAAATACCGATCAAAATTGTCTGTCAATACACTGAAATCCAAATGTGTAAAAATGACTTCGATATA